ACATTTGGAATAAAACTTATCACTTACAGGTAGGTGATCCTCGACTGCAAGGAAAATTTTGTTGCAAACAATTCAATCCTGAAGGCAGAGCACTAAAAAATGCAAGAATGAGTGTAATTAGGGAAAGTATCATCTATGAGATAGAGAGGAATCAAGCATTAATTTTGAGAATAAAAATATGTCAAATCTTTCATGATGAATAAATTGTTGTCCTGAAACAGAAAGAAGGAAGTGCATTGGTAGTGAAACATGCATGCAAAGATTGTCATAAATACCTAAAGAAAGCACATAATAAAGGCATTAAAAAAACACATAATAAAGACCGAATGATTTTCCTATAATTTTGTATGCTACCTTTTTGTATTAAGAACCATGGCAGCATAGACTTTCCTACATAATTTCTTCAGGTTCGGTGGCCAAGAAAACTCATTTTGTCCGCAAATTATTTCTTTCTCCTATTTACTAATATAAAATTTTCCAAGTCATTAATGAATATTGTTATATGATTATTAATTTTACAAGTACAGAGAATGTATGTGAAGCTGCTACCTGCTATGACATATTGACGATGAGAATATGAACCAATTATTCGCGGTTGGACATACATCAAGAAGCGATTTGCAACTAACAATCATATTATCTAATCTTTCTGGGAAATGGTTACTGATAAGTTGCCATAACAAAAATTCCATAGAAAGATGAAAGCCAGCAGGCATAGCTTTAGCTATTGACCGATCTTGCCATTGTTTAGTTATGAAGAAAATACATGTGGATAACTGATATAAATATCACAACAATAATATATCTACATAAAGAAGCTCACAAAAGGTAAAGCCTAGGAAGTGAATCCATATAAGTTTTATAACCGTGAGTGCTTAAAATATTCACCTTCCATTAGAATTGTCTATGGTAAAGCGGTTGGCAACCAAATTACTGCATAATACATTCAAGTAAGATTTCTATGTTAATGTTAGAAAATGCAGTATAAATGATGAGACTTGTCAAAAGAAACCATAAGGCAGAACACTGAAAAGAAAATATAAAGAATATGTAGCATCCTTGTTTTCATTCATACATACAGTTGTAAATTTTGTTCACTGATCCATTTAGGGAAGCTCCCAGATAATGAATTGTATGATAAATCTCTGCAAGGAATATAAAAACGATGTTAGGTAGATATTCCAATTTACAAATAACTTTCTTTAGTCCCTGTTTGGTAGAAATTAAAATCCAGATTTTAATCTAAGTTAAAGTCAACAATTAATTTTAACCGTATATTTCGAGGGATTCACAAATTTTTAATCACACATTTCATTAACTTTTGTCAAAATCTACTAAAATCTGATTTTAATCTCCACCAAACAGGGGTTTAATATGAAAATATATGTTTTCAATTATTTTTTCTTTTGTTTGTGGCATCACATGATGCCTGTACAAATACTAGTTAGGTTTACAAACGTAAAGACTCCAATCAGATATCTTCGAATGCAATCAAAGATATAGTATACTATTATAACTCTTTCGCGTGGGATTACATGACGTTCATGTGAAGAGGGTAGTCCCAACTTAATACTTGTAATTAAGAAATTTTAATGTGTAAATTAAGAGGACTCATACACAAAATCGCAATAAGTTCAGAAAAAATATGCCTCCAATTAATAATGAGATTGAAAGGCATAGGATTGTGTCCCGACCTTGGAGATCTAATAATGTATATGAAAAAAAATGCAACTTGTAGGGGTTTTTATCAGAACCACGTAAGATATGAACATATGAAGACCAATACTAACATGTTCTGGAGAGTTGGACCCTTTACTGCAGGCAGGGCACCATTCAAATTATTATTACCAAGAAACCTGAAGATGAAAAAGAAAACCAAATTAGCACCCTATCTATCCCTCCCAATGATGCTTTCTTCTCTTTCTTCAGGGTGGGGATTGTTGCAGTGAGGTCTCAATCACAAGAATTGAACGATTTATTACAAGTTAGTGAGTGAACTCAGATTGAAAAGTGAATCTGGGATGCGTCCAGTCAAATTGTTGAAGCTCAAATCCCTAAAAAAGGAAGTTATAAAAGATTGCANTACAAGGTAGTGAGTGAACTCAGATTGAAAAGTGAATCTGGGATGCGTCCAGTCAAATTGTTGAAGCTCAAAACCCAGAAAAAGGAAGTTATAAAAGATTGCAGAGTTAAATTTACCATCAACCTCAGTGGAAGCTTATTACATTATTGAAAGTCATACAACACAAGAAAACTTACAGCAGTGTTAAACTCTGATAGTCACCAATATTGGAAGGTATGGAACCAGAAATGTTATTATTACGCAAAACTCTGCCAAAAAAGGAACGAGTTCATAAAAAACTTGTCAAAACAACAGATAATTTATTGAAAGAAAGAACAAATCAAATTAGTACAAAAATATAAGCTGTGTTATAATCCTTACAAGGTGCCAAGAGACATCATATTTCTAAGGAAGTCCAGTGTAGAGCTTCCATTAGATAGATCACTTATTCTCCTGCTCATTATATGTTAAAAATAATATTAGCTTTGGACANGCACGTGACAGTTCTAGCAAGATAAATCATATTTAAAAAATTAAAATATAAAAAAAATAATATATATATATAAAATTACTGTCTCACAGGACAAGTAGATTTGACCAATTCCCGATAAAGTCAGGAATTTGACCAGTGAATTCATTGTCTGAGGCCCACCTGAAATTCCCAAAAATTTATTTTAGCATACTTGATCAGAGAAGATGATATAATAAATTTATCTATCACTAAAGAAGAACAAAGGAGCAGAGAGAATATGTTCTTACACACTCTCCAATCCCGTTAGACTAGAAAATGATGGGGGTATTTGCCCACTAACTCCAGCGCTATCAAAGTAACTGCCAAGAAAATAACAGGTTTTGAATGAAAAACTGGGAAGGAGCCTTTTTCTTTTTCCTCGCATAACAATAAATTTGTCTCGTCTCATGATACAACTAATAAGATTGAGAAAATTTTTAGATGGTTACAAGTACTACGGTGTAGATTGAAATTGCCAAAAAAACATAAGAAGATAACTAGAATGCAAAAGGCAAATAAGGTACAGGTCACAGTTGTCAAAAAGATGTCGTGTGTCAAGGAACATAGAAAAATGGAAAAGACCTAAAAGAAAAATGCTCTTCGCATTGGTCCATGTCTAAGTTCAGAGATGATGTGTGTCTATACAAATGTCGAAGCAGTAAAGCAACATAGAATCCTAAATGATAAAGCGCGAACAACTCGTTGTCATGTAGGAACGAGACAATAAGTATGAAATGACATCGAAACTTACATTTGAGTTAGTCTTGTTAAATTCCCAAGCTCAGATGGTAGAAGACCAGAGAAATCGTTTGTGCTGAAAACCCTACGCAAGTAGAAATCACAAATAAACAAGTACGTAAATTTATATGTACATGCACGAATGCTAGCTAATTGGGGTTTAAACCTCATGATTAAAACATATAAGTTCTTACAACGATCTTAAGTCTGTCAACATCCCAAGCTCCCTAGGAAGCTCCCCTGATAATGCATTAATTCCAAGACTCCTAAAGAAAATAATTAAAACTTAGCAATATTTTTAATAACACTCAAACACTGTTGATTAAGTCCTAAATCACAATAATATATCTTACAAGTACTGTATGCGAGCGAGGTTTCCAATAGATGCAGGCAGTGGACCCGTCAAATAATTTTGGGCTAGATTTCTGCAATAGAAGTAGGGAAAACACCCTAGTCATCAGCATCTAAGAAATAACAATATGGACAGACAAATGAAAAAGTAGGTGCCAAGAAACTAATTAACTATTACATATACTTGATCAAATCAACTAATAGAAAAAAATAACCGTACATATCAGTAAGGTAAGTCAAATTCCAGAGCTCATTCGGGATTGGACCCACAACATCCAATGCAAAAACTCTCCTGTAAAATTACGACGTTCAGAGCCAAAAATCAACATAAAATGATATTTCAAAGACAAATTTGGAATCGTTTAAAGCAAGTAATCAAAGTGAAACGATACAATTGGGTGAGAGTGTTTTCAACCCTACAACCAAAGAAAAGTAGAGGGGAACTCACAGTGCAGTAATGCGGCAAACGGTACGATTGTTGAAAGAGCAATCACATTTAATACCCGGATTGATATCGTGAATTGCTGTATCATCAATTGCAACTCCGCTGCATAATTCGCCGCTAATGTTCCATCTTTGACTTGTTCCAGAAATTCCCCAAAGCTGAAATATAGAGTGCAAAGCTCTTGCTGCAAAATTCGAAAGCATGTTACGATTACGATTGCTGTTGACCCTAAAAATGGTCATGTGACGTAACCAACAGAAAATCATAAACTTAAGTCCTTGTAGATGGAATCGCAATATGCTCGCATCCAACTACTGGCTATATTGGTGAATCAACACAGGGAATGGTTTACAACACCTTTTAGGTTGTATGATGCATAAAAAGGGGGTCGGCCTTCGGATATAATGGAGAGAATCAAGATTTACTTTGAATGTGTAAATTTGCATTGTCCCCTTCAACGTATGGCGTGTAGGCTTTTTATATCTCATGTTGAGTCAACAGGGCCCGTTCGATGGTAAAAGATCCAATGATCCTCATTAGAGTCAATCAATCAATCAAGTCATTAATGCATAGATCTCCTTATCTTTTCCCCTGACATAGGATCTGACTACGTAGGCTTGTAGAGATGGCACTCGCAGGGTGCTGTCTTGTCAATCATTTCGTTAAGTCCGCTGTTGGTTGACTTACCACCTCATCAAGAGCGAGCTAACGCCTCTGCCAATGGGGATCGAATGAGCAGAGTTTGGATTGGGATGACTTTGGCATATACATGGTCGCCTGTTACTACGCCACTTGTGGGCTCGTCCGCTTGCCACAAGCATTTATTTTTACGACTATTTATATAAGTAACATCAGTCACCTAAGTCCAGGTATGATTATTCATATCTTGTTTGGACTTTGAAGCCCGATAAATGATGGAATCGAAACCCTCACTCACCTGCCAGAATCTGCGTAGGGCTCCCCCGTTTCTTGCTTGAACTCCGTAAGACAATGGGGCTTGCATCAAAAAAGGTGGTTCTTCGTCTCCTTGTTGAGGTATGAGTCCCTCGTGCGGATGAATCGTATGAAAGCAGAGCCTTGTGCTGACGAACTGCATTAAGGCAGAGCCCTTTGTGCTGGCGAACTGCATTAAGGCAGAGCCCTTGTGATGATTTGGTGAGTGCTAATTCCCAATGAGCGACGCTGGATGTTCTTGGTCATTTCCAATACTCGAGCGACGTGCGCATTTAATGCGTAATGATGATGACATTTCATCTCTATCCAAATAAACGTGAGTTCTGGGCGCGTGTGCTGCACGGGTTGATCTGGGCCTTTGGTTCGAATTTCTAATGGTCGCCTTTTGGTTTCTGTGCAAACGATGGGGTGACAGGTGGATGGTTCAGATTAAATCGATGCAATATCCAACGGTGGGGGGTTCATTAGGTAAGCCTATAAAAGGCAAGGAAATCAAACTTTTCGCCTTTTTTCACTCTTTCGAAGGTTTGAAATCTGAAGAGCAAAGATTCTTCTCTCCGAGCCCAGCAACTTTCCAGCAACTTTTCATTTTCGTTGGCGACCGACTGTTTACTTTGATTTCAAGGTTTTCAGGGATTTGATCCTTGTTAGGTTTTTGCGTAAGTACTTATCCTTTGCTGTACCAAATTCCTCTATTTTTTTCTTCTCCTTTGTTTCGATGGCCTCTGAATCTAAGACGAGTGTGGGAGGGGGTTCTCCTGGGGTAACCTTGGTATTGACCTATACCGAGGTGGGAATTCCTTCAGTGTTACCCACTGGGCAACTTGAGGAGACGGCGGGAGGTCCCATAGATGACAGTATGAGGTGGGGGGCCTGTCTATGGCCAACAGATATTAAGGAAAATGAGCTTGAGGGTTTTAGGGATAGGTTTAGGATCTCTCACGACGTCGAGTTGCTAGTGCTGACCCAGGAGGAAATAGCCTGCTTTCCTAGGGAGGGCTGTGTGGCAGTGAGCGAGGCGATCTTGAGTGGGGAGATGAGGCTGCCATTACACCCTTTCTTTAGGATTATTCTTAGAGAGTACAATTTGGCTCCCACCCAATTAGTACCAAATGCTTGGAGTCAGTTGGTGGGGGCCTTTCTCCTTTGAAAAGATGTAACACTCAGTGGGGATATGCCCCCACACGTCTTTCAAGCCCTCAACCGAACCTCAATGCAGCTGGGCGTTTCCCTCCTCTCGCATGAGTACCGAACTTACGACATCGGCACTCACAACCAAGTATAATAACAAAACTTCACGTTCTCTTGGCTTGGAAAGAAGGGGGGCTTGTCCTAGGTGCTTCTTCAACCCTTGGAACGCCTCTTCACATTCTTGACTCCAGCAAAATCTTTTTCCTCATTTCAAAGCCTTGAAGAAAGGGAGGCATCTATCAGTCACCTTAGAGATGAAGCGATTCAATGCCGCGAGACGCCCTGTTAAACATTGTACTTCTTTTGGCTTACTAAGGGATTTTATGTTCAATAAGGCTTTAATCTTTTCGGGATTCGCCTCGATGCCTCGTTGGTTCACCATGTAGCCTAGGAACTTCCTAGAAGTGACTCCAAAGGCACATTTTAACGGATTCAGTTTCATACGGTACTTCCTCAAGATGTCAAAGGTGGCTTGCAAATGATCAACATGATCGATTGACTTGAGACTTTTCACCAGCATGTCCTCAACGTATACCTCCACTGTTTTTCCTAGTAGGTAGGATAACATCTTGTTTACTAATCGCTGGTAAGTTGCACCGGCGTTCTTCAAACCAAAGGGCATGACCAATTGATCAATGATGAAAGATGTATGCAGGGGGATCTGGTTATATCCCGAGTAGGCATCCATGAAACTCAACAGCTCGTGTCCAGCAGTAGAGTCCACCAATTGATCTATCCTTCGGAGCGGAAAGCTATCTTTTGGACAAGCTTGGTTGAGGTTGGAGAAGTCTATATAGACCCTTCATTTGCTATTATTCTTTTTCACGAGAAGTCTATATAGACCAACGCCGTAATTATATATAAAGGTTTGGGACTTCAGCCGAAAAAATTAAAGATTTGGGTGTAATCTGCAACAAAATAAAAGGTTTGGGACCAACGTTGCAATTTTTTCGAGTCACAATTACTGTTAAAACGTTGACTGACGATTTTATGGACGGAATTAAAGGTTTNAAAATTACTGTTGAAACGTTGATGACGGTTTTATGGACGGAATTAAAAGCTTGGGACCGACGCTGCAACTACATATAAAGGTTTGGGACTTCGGCCGTAAAAATAAAATGTTTGGGTGTAATCTACAACAAAATGAAAGGTTTGGGACCACGGCTGCAATTTTCCCGTTTACTCATAAATAAGGATCATTGTAACAAATATTGTTTATGATGAGTAAAAATTATTAAAAAAGAATGAAACAATAGTTCAATCACATGAAAAACCTTCACTACAAGGATTTTTATTGTGCTTATAAGAGGGTTTTTTTTTTTTAATTCTTGACAAAAGAGTGTGTTTTTTAGTCCTATTTTTATTGAGAATATATTTTATAAAGGTGATTTTCTAAAAAACGTGTGATTAAAAAATATGAAAAATTTTAAATTTAAGTATAAAATTATTATATTGAAAGAATGTATAATTGGAAATATATTTATAGAAAAATGAATTTTTAAAAAATGGAAATTAAACAAGGATATATAATTAAAGGTGGCTTTTAAGTTATACGTAGCCCTTTGTTTTATTTTAAAGCAAAACTCTCTAGTTTTTATACCAATTTTCAATCACACGTTCCAATAATAAAATATTTTGTACATAAATCTATAATTTTTCTTAAGAGCATATTTTTCATAAAAATCACTATTCAAAACATATTTTTTTCAAAATAATGACTATCAAAATAATTTTTTCTCCACTTTTTAATTTCTTGAACAATAAGAAAAAAGTGAAAAAAAATATCCATTTGGATTAAACTGTGTACAACACAATAAAAGCATCAAGATTGTATGAAGAAACTAAGAAGAACAAGAAACAAAAATCTTTTAAAAATAACCAAGTTCTCAAGCATTTAAATAAAAAATCCGGAAAATTTGCAATACAACTGTTAAAATTACTAAATGACACAGACACACACATATAGATACACACAGAGAGAGAGAGAGAGAGAGAGAGAGGCGAACCTTCAGAAGGATCAACGGTGGCATTTCTTGTAGTTTGAGCTCCAGCAATCCCCAACAGGAATAAGATAATTAAAACAAAGTAGAAGCTCCCCTTTAGAGGCGGCGGCGCGTGAGAACCCAGCTGGTGGCGCGGCTTCTTCATCGCACACCAGTATCTTCTTCCTATATGAGTTATTTTGGACAACACAACAAATTATCAAAATTTAGAGAGAGAGAGATAGAGCACTGATTTGTCAAATTGGGTTGAGTCTAAGCCCCTGTTTGGCCACTTTTTTCTCATTACATTTCATTTTTTTGGATCAAAAATGGTAGGCAATTGGGACCACTGACTATTTCACTGCAAAGTTGTGTACGTTTCTGCATATGTCCATGACTTTCTCATATTTTAAAAGCACCATTAAGCCACTAATGACAATATTGCCCCCACCTTTTTTGACAATGTTGAATTGCAATCAGCACATGAGAAAGAGGGCATTTTCGTCCTTCGCTATCAACGGTTGTATTGCACAGGGTCAGGCCTGACACGCGAGTGGAGTGATTTAGACAAGTAGTGGACAAGTCGGTTTGTGGAAAAGTGTTAAAATGAAGTTTAATGAGAAAAAACGGGGGCCAAACAGTGACTAAATGTTATATCTATATATCCTCATCCCATAGGATAAGAAAAATACAATAATAAATAATGCAGATATTTCTGACCTAAGAAAAATACAATATTATCTGTGGATCAGAAATTTTAAAATTTTTTGTGATACCCAAGGAGGGTACTTCGTTGACTGCTAAAAGTCAACGCATAACATAAATAATCATACATGGATTTGGGGGACTATTGTTACGACTTACTACTAGCATGATCGAGGCCCAAAACATATCCAGAGCTCATTGGTCGAGGCCCAATATATAACCGAGGCTCAAGAAAAAATCGAGGCTCAAGAAGAAGCCGAGACTCAAGAAGAAATCTAGGCTTATGATGAAGCCGAGACTCATGAAGAAGCCGAGGCTCAAGAAGAAACCGTAGCTCATGAAGAAGCCGAGGCTCTGTGTAAGTGGTCGAAGCCCACATCATCGAAACAGTA